TTAGTTGTTTGCAGAGCCATCCAAGTGGGCGGACAGCTGAGCAGCCACAAAGGGCTCATTCTGTTTCTGATCGTCTTTCAGGCTAGCTGCTTGTTCTGAGATGGAAGAGAAGGAGAGCTGGTCATGCTCCAAAATGTGCAATTGGTCCTCGCCCTTGAACTTCTTCACATAGAACAGCTTTCTGAATTTTTTCAGCTCGCGGAGTTCACAGAAGGTTTCCAGAACCACCAGCATAGCAATCAGGCCAAGTATCAGGTAACCTGTGTGAGAAATACGACAGGGTCTCAGCGTGACCTCATCATGGACAAATCACGTCACAAGTGACTCTCCACCAACCCCTCTACACACAGAAAAATCTGTTGATGAAGAAATGCATTGCTAACTTTCTGATACCTATAAATGTTCCCAAACCCATGGCTCAAAGTAGAACTAACCAGACATATAACAAAGGATGACATAATCTCCTATGAACTGGGATTACTAAAAACTGCAGGCTGCAATTTTGAGGAAAAAAAAAAATAGTTGGGGCTGATGAGGCACCACTGTCAAAGACATATAACACTGTACTTGCTCAAATGCAATGATCTTTTTTTTAGTAGTGATTTAAAAAAATAATTTTATTGTTGAAAATATACACAGAATATACAGCAATTCAACAATTTCTACACGCACTATTCAGTGACATTAAATACCTTCTTCAAGTTGTACAACCATTCTCACTCTTCTTTTCTGAGTTATTCCTCCCCCCATTAACATAAACTCATTGCCCTCTAAGCTTCCTATCTAACATTTAGAGTCGCTTTTGTCAATTTGATCCCATATAGGTAGTTTTTTAAAAGAGCACAATGCTCAAGGCAGACTTTCTTTACTAATTAAGCTAAACTACTGTTTGGTTTAAAGATTTCAGGGTATATTTTTGGTTTAAGGATTAGGATGTAAAGATTTTCTCAGGGCAATAGCTTCAGAATTCATCCAGCTGCAATGATCTTTTGATGCAAAGACTCTCACCCCACTTCATGATCAGTGGCTTTCAAATAGCTAGTGACATTTTAGGAAAGTTTTCTATTTAACATGGGGTGCTCAGAACAATGTGTTCAGCTGCTAAGCAAAAGGTGGGAGGTTCAAGTCCACCCAGACACACTGCGGAAGAAAGACCTGGTGATCTACTTCTGAAAAATCAGCCATTGAAAACCCTATGGAGCACAGTTCTACTCTGACACACATGAGGTCACCACGAGTCGGTGTTGACTTGACAGCAACTGGTACTCAGAACAAAGCTTGGCACTTTTTTAAGACACTAAATGCTTTTATCATTATTTCTATTACAGAATAAGAAGTTTACTAATAGAAATTACAGCCTAAGCTAAATGAAAATTCCTTTAAGAACTGACATAGAAATTAAATAGGTCTTTGTGTTGTTGAAATTAAATAGGGCTGTTGACACTTCCACCTAAATCCAGCAGCAAACATAAGGTCTTCATTATGTGACAGTCACTTCTTGGCATGTGGACCACTCACGGTGGCAACTGAATGGCTCTGCCAGCTTCTTACTCTTTAAGATAAACAATAACTGTTGAATCCTTGGAATTTGTGGTGGGGTAATGGTAATTTTATGTTAGTTCCAACATTTTTAAAATCATTTATCAGAAAAAAAAAAATTATCAAGGAAAGGAACAGAACAAAGCAAAAATGAAAACTCCAAGAATAACAGAAATCTCAATGTCATGTTCCCAGTAGTAAAATGTCTGAAGAAGAGCCCAGAAAGCCCGCGAACTAGGAAAGCTAGAATTGGCAACATAACGAGAACAAAGAAGCTGATTATCTCAAGAATGCAAAGTGGCACAGTTCTAGTATCCTTAGGATTTGGCTACTAGGTTTTGATAATAATATAGTGCAGTGTGCTCTCTCTTATTTTAGAAACAACAGTGACACTGTCAGTCAGACTAATCAATAAATCCCCTTATTTTCCTTCATCCATCATTTAGTCAAGCTTATAACTGCTGACAAAAATACCTATGGAATTTTAGGCAAAAACCATAGGATTTTATTCTACTTACAAATTAATATATCTTCGGAACATTCAGTTGTTAGATACTTGAGTTCTTAACACTCCAAGCACAAACTAACTTTATGTAAATTGCCTTAAAAGATGACCACATTGTAATAAGCGATAAAATACTATTCAAGGATTTATTATTCTACGAAAAACTAAGGAAGTTAAACTGTTGGGCAAAATCTATGAGAAGATAATTGACACAAGAGAAAAGTATGGCTAGCAAGCATATTTATAGAAAATGTTCAACTTTCCTAAGTCATTAAAAAATGAAAAATTAAAATAAGGAGGTAACATTTTACTTATTACATGAAAAGAAAATTAAGATAATGTTTATTTTGGTATCAAATTCACAAAAAATATCTATAATGCTACTGGCTAACACCACCACAGGAGTGCTGAAACAGTCACAACCATGCAGGTGGCAATGTACACAAGTACTGCCATTTGGAAAACACCATGTCAATATTTCCTGTGCGTCATAAAAGGGTGTATTCACTTTGGGCTAGCAATTCCACTTCCTGCAAAAATATCTAAGTAGGAAAAATGTAACCACAGAAAGATATTCACTACAGGGTTATTTATAATACCCACAAATTGGAAGTAGCCTATATATTTAACAACAGAGGCATGATTAGATAATGGTATAGTCATTTGTCCAGATAGTATATGGACATTATAATGATTACAATGATAATTATGGCAACTAGAGAAAACATGAAATCATCCTTGCAACCATGAGGCAGATATTTATTGAATGTGTAGTATTGTAGCCAGGCACCATACAAAGCACGGGGATTTATGAATGAAGTCTTTGCTCTGGAAGAGCTCACAGTTTAATGGAAATATAAAAATACATAGAGTTTGATTAAGCATTTTGCAGGGTGAAGACTGCAAGGCAGGGCCAGACGGAGCATCTGACTGCCTGGGGTGTCTGCTTGGCCTCTTAGAAGAAACGACATGAGCTGAGTCTTGAAAAATTCTTGAGAGGGTAGAAACGAAAACTGTATGTACATTACAACCGTGATTCTATGCCTCTACAAGAAGACAGAAAAGGAACACACAAAAATGAGCTTCTTAAAAAGGAATTATTGTCCTAAGCTTTCCATGATATTAAATTTAAAACAAAAAATGTTTAAAAATCAGAAATCAATGGCCCTCTAAATTTTACTGCCTATTTTCCACATATAAAATTCAGAAAATGGTTAATATATTCTAGCTTCTCCAAAAAAGAACCAGATGGACAAACGAGATAAGCAAGTGTTTTAAGATTTTCCTGGCAAATTAAAGAACATGACTGGTAGTTAACAGGCTGGCTACATCCTAGTTCTAGTTTTCTTGAGCTTAAAATACCTAATAGAGTAACTTTTTTTTTTTTTTAATTAAAAGTTGGTAATCAAATACATTCTGTGTGGTCTTTTTTACACTGTAATTTATAATGCCTCTTACATTGTTAGTTAGAAATTGGTAAGTAATTTTAAGGTGCCTGGAAAAAAATCTACATAATAAGAAGATTTTCGCATAAAGAGTTTGAAGAGAATTATGATGAAATGAAATTGTTATCCGAAGAGGGTAAAAACTGAAAGCTTATCAATGAACGTGCTCAGCTGCAAACTAAAAGGTTAGGGAACTGGGAGGTTTGAGTCCACCCAGAGGTGCCTCAGAAGAAAAGGCCTGGCGATCTACAGTACTCTTATGCAAATAGCACACCTTCTACGTTTGCCAGCTTTGCCCCCCCACCCCCCCGTGAGGTATTTCTGCAAGCACCGCTAAGCCAATTTTTTTCGCATGTTACATAGTTGGGGAGGGGGGGCGTGATTGGCAAACAAATGTAGAAGGTGCTTGTTATTTGCGTAAATATATGGTACTCCTGAAAAATCAACCACTGAAAACTAAGGAGCACAGCTCTACTCTGACACACATGGGATTGCCATGCAACTGGTTTTCAATCAATGAAAAGGCAGTCAGGGCTTTCATGAACGATTATTTATTAGCAGGCAAGGTAGAGCTTGGAATGGCAAAACTGAGACAAAAGGGGCAGAGTTTGTGACGCTGGATACTCACATGTGATTCCAAACTTGTAGATTGCTCTGAACTTTTGATTGTTGCCTTCCCAGGAACATAATCCCCTAGGCCAATGGTGCTCAGGGAAATAAAACAAAAATAAAAGGATTCGAGGAAGTTCCAGTCACTCTCCAGGGAGGAGAATACGGCTGCTGGGATGAAGAAGAACAAGGACACGGTGACAAACCCGAGGAGAATCGCGTGCACGAGGGACACGGTGTGCTTGGAGAAGCCCCAGCGGGTGTGGAAGTAGAAGACAGGCCTGTGGGTGACGTAGATGGTGATGCGCTGGACCACCGCCGTCAGGAACAGGAGGGTGAAAGGGATGCCGATGACAGAGTACAGGAGGCAGAAGGCCTTACCCCCATCTGACAAGGGCACGGTGTGGCCATAACCTACAGGGAGAAAATAGCAACTGAGGTGACGAGGAAGAGAAAACAAATATTTAAACGGCATCACGACCATCGTCTGCCCCTACTTCCCCCAGCTGAGAAGAGTGAGACTTCATATGTAGACACTTCAAAGACTCCAGTATAACTATCATGTCAGTAAAATTCCATCATGGATGCCAAATATTGGGGAAGTCCACCACTCTCTCTAAAAACTTACCGGCTCTTTCCAACACATCAGATCTGGTCTTGGAATCACTGTCAGGCTGAAATAAAGCTCAGTGTGCGCTAAGGACCTAAGGCCCACAGCAATCAGAGACCATCAGGAAAAACTTCACACAGGATGGCGACTTCACTGGGATGGACCTCTCTCCCTCCCCTCCCCCAAGATCCTTATTAGTATCTAAATGCCAGCCTATACTTCACCACAAATCATATTACTCATGCAGTGTGCTCACAGGAGTGACTGGCAAATAAGGGTGTGTGCATGGAGCAGAGCTGAAAGGGCATGGCGGGAGGGTGGGCCAGAGTCAATTAAGATATACTGTAGATACACAGAAAAGAGAGAGGAACATGAAGCTGGAAGCACACAAAGTCATAGCAGTGAGCCCTGCTTTTAAAATATTTTGCCCAATTACCGCTTAAATGGAACATTCAGAAACCTTAACATATTTTTTTCCTTGTCATCTCTCTATGTTCGAAGAGGACATAAATTTCAAAAAACAAACATTAAAAAAAAATACGTTAGGACCAGCGGTCAAACATATGATCTGTTTCACTTTCCCCTAGGTTTAAATCACTCTCAAATCAAGCCAAACAAGACTCTTCATCCAACAGAGAACCCAGCTGAATGTGAGGCTGGGTGGATGATTTTTTAAACTCCAGCAGCACTTCCTTCTGAAGGGGCTAACATGTCTGAACAAGTCAGTTCAGGAAAAAGCCAACCAAATGAACTGTTTCGAAACTGGATTCAGAAAACACTTCATATATGTGATTATAATTGAAAGATGGTTTCAAAACCAGACCTCTAAAATATATTCTACTTAAAAATAAACTCTCTACTTTATCTGTCGGTATTAAAACTTTGGGGCACAGCCTCAACATAACCGAGTCAGTGCTCTTAATCCATTGTCCCTGACTGTACAGTTTATGAACAAGCTACAGGAGTCCCCAGAATCCTCTGAAATTCTATGCAAAATTGTACATTCACATACATATGTATTTTTTCTGTAGAGAGATTCCAGAGCTTAGGTTCTCAAAAGGCATATATATCTAAAAATGGTTAAGAACCATTGTTTTGAGCTTAAGATTCCGAGTCCATCTGGTCCCCCTACTCTCCAGCTGCTCCCGGAATACTGTAGCCAAGTTTGGGCATGGTATTTAAGGAGAGAAATGGGCACACTGGAGTATCCAGGGCACAACATGGAGGACAGTGAAAGGGTGCCAAATAATGTTCATGAAACATAAGCAGGAAAACGTTGAATGCTTAGTTTTAAGGAAAAAATGTGAAAAAGGAATGAGGCTTGTTCTGAGTAAGGGGGCCCATTTCTAAAAATCTGGGGCCAGTGGGAGTTACATTTTAGCTAGGTATTTGGGAACCATGTTCTGATGATGAGAGCTATCTGGAAACAGAATCTGAAAATGAAAATTTATTTAACCATAACAAGGCAATTAGATTCCGATCAGGAACACAATAGATGGTCCCGCATAGAATGAGAGAAAAACGTAGAACAAAACTCAAATTCCTAAAGAGGCTTACTGGACCAGTAGTGAGTAGAGGAACCTCCGAGACTATTACCGTGCGATACCCTTTAAACTTGGAACTAAAATCACTCCCGATGGTCATCTACCAGCCAAAAGACGGAATGGTTCATAAAAAAGATAATATCACTCATGAGTACTGTGCTCCTCTAAAACAATCAACTAAATGAGACCTAAAGGTCAACATTTACCTTAGACCAAAGATGAGAAGGTAAAAGGGGACAGGGAAGCTAAATTAATGGAAACAGAACAACTAGAACGGAAATAATGAGAATGCTGACACATTGTGAAAAATATAACCATTGTCACTGAACACTATGTATAGAAACTGCTAAATAAGAACTTAATTTGCTGTGTAATCTGTTACCAAAAACATAATATTTTTGAGAAAAGGCAATTAGAAAACGACTTGCAAAGTTAGTTGACTAAACTCTTGAGATGGCGCTCACAGGACTAGAGGGTCGAGCAGAGGCTGCGTGGAATGCAGCTGAACTTTGGCAGGGATTTTGTAAAGGAACATGTTATCAGCTAAGTCAGCTGGACTAGGTATAACAGCCTTTAAGTCCATCATTTTATTAAGGTTTTTTGGTAGCATTTTTATAAATTAGCTTTGCTAAAACTGGAACGCACCTATCTCACGCAGCCCATCTCTGTTCTAACATCTGTTCCAATAAATTACGTGATTTGGGTTCTAGTGAGAAAAAAAGTAAACAAATTTCTAGTCTTAAAATATTTGAGGATAAAATTTTTACTCTCAAAGTATGACAGCTGTTTTTATTAGAAGGTTAATGAAATCTCCATTTACTAGAATGTTATCTCCAAGCAATGGCGATACTCATTACAAAACTATAGGACTTCTCTCTGCAGTAATGCATTTTTATGCCAGGAATATGTTCCCACTAAGAGATTAAGAATCACCATAATCATGCAGATCTTGACGGAAAGTCATTTTCTTCTGACAATGATTACATAAATAATTTTTGTTAATGGACAATGTAAATTTAACATCTCATTTGTATCCTCTGCATTCTGGGAACAGGCCAAATTGGGGAAACCACCCTTTGCACCAACTACACAGCTGTACTTTTGCAACAGACAGCTTAATGCATCAGATGGAAACCTACAATATTACTGAATTTTAATGAAGTAGTGAATAATTCAGTCAAGTTCAGTCAATCAAACCCCCAGAGGAATCATGAAAGCAGAGCTCATAGTTTTAAATTTCATTATCATATTAAAATCCATTATAAACTATGAAGAATTTAGCAAAATGTTAATAAACCTGACATATGTGCTGTTCTTTAAATTTTGGGACCCAAAATTGAGCATATCAAAGTCCACTGAAAAAGCTGACTTCACAAATTTAGTTAGGGTCCTGTGGTGGAACTTGCACATACAAACGTTCTTGTATTCTAGCCTCCTACTCCACAATTGCTGGGTTTCCTATTCCGACTTTTTACCTGTAGGGCATGTGGCAGTATGTGTCTAATGGGATGGTTGTATTGGTAAGAGTTTACTAAGAAATCTGTCTTCCTGCTTGGCTATTTTAATCACAACAGCCCTGACACTGTGCCAGAACACCCAGTCTGGGGCTATGCCACGCTAGACGCCAGTCTTCTGGTTGTCTGGTATTTAAGTCCTCCCAAATGAGGTCCCAGACAGAGAACCTCTGCGGGCTGCGATTCAGTACGCTAGAGCAAGTCACTGGTATACAACTTCTTTACACATACCAAGTGCCTTTGAGAAAGGCACAACTCCCTGCGGTCTCTTGTTGTGACCCTGCGTGTATAATAAATGGTCCCGCTTATATACATCATTTAGCATGATTTGGAACATACATTCTCCATCGAGTTAGCTTGATGCATGCTAAAAAAAAAAAAAAAAACCTACAGAAAGGAGTCTCAGGCTTTGAAATTAATTCCAGTAGAGATACTGATTTGAGGAAATCAGTTGAAATGTTTCCTGTTCTGTAGAGCAGACTTTAATTTGCAGTCCTGAACTTTAGCTTTTTCTTTCTCTCTTTCCCACTGGGCCGTGTGTCCCTTGAAGGGAGACCATGCCCTCCTCTATTCTGTATTCCTCCAGGCTCCCTGACCTCAGCCCTATCCACAGAGCAGAGGTGGTAAACAAGCGGCTTAAATTACTGTAATCTCTGGCATGGGAGAAATGAACTCACAAGGCAGCAGTGAATAGGCTTCACGTCAGGTCAGCTCAGGCTCCCCCAACCCCCACTTTAATCTTGTCCTTTGCTTGAAATAAGTTCTTGTCCCACAGTTTTAATAAATGGTTAGCTTATACATAACGTGTCATACAATGGGTCTTTGTAACCCCCTTTATTGACAGCAATACTTTTCAAAGACCTGCACATGGATAAACTCACTCCATGTGTCCCTGCTACTTCATCCACCCTACAGGGAAAGTTCAGCTTTTGTTACTCTGCTTATAAAATGAAGTTTGTTTACCACTGAATAAAGGTTCAAGGGAGGTCTGAACCAGACAGAGTGGGTGGAAATACTGACAAAGACTGAAAGTGGGTTACATTCAGTACCAGCAACAAGGAGGCCTAGAGGGTAAGAGGTAACAGAGGTAAAAAGTCATGTGAGGGGCAAGTAGGCTATACTTTTCTTGGCTTCATTCTTTACTTCCCCGCTCATTTAATACTTTCCTAAACACGTCCTATTGCTGCCACTCAATCACTGATGGTTTCCTGAGACAGAGCAATAGCATTGGTGGTTAGGAAACTGCACTTACGCTTTATCTTAGAAAGCCATCTTTGAGACATGGATCACAGTAACACATGAATTTAAAAGCTAGAGGACCCTAGCAAATGCCTTTGAATGCCACACATGGGACTCTTGCACCTTTTGCAATGGGAGTTTCAATTGGAAATGGCAGCATGGTGGAAAAACAATTAAGAATGAAAATTTATGCAAGGGCGCCAAGCATCAATCAATTTAAAGAGACTGAAGAGCCCTGGTGGCTAAGAGCTTGGCTGCTAACCAAAAGTCTGGCAGTTTGAATCCACCAGCCGCTCCTTGGAAACCCTACGGGGTAGTAGTTCTACTCTGTCTTGCAAAGTCGCTGTCATTTGGAATTGACTCAACGGCAATGGGTTTGGTTTTCTTTTGGTTGAAGTTTTGGGATGGAGGAAGATGCTCCTAAAGCACCCAATAAAAGTAGCTACCACTTGCTGTTTGCCATGCAGGAGTGTATGTGTAAGTGTGACTCTTCATAAGAAGATTCAAAATCCAAGAGTTCTTATTTCCCTTTTACAAATGAGAAGGCTGAGTTTCTGAGATTAGACAACTTGCTCAAGCCCATATTCTTCCCACTGTACCACCCCACATATGCTATGCGATACAAACGCCAGTGCGTCAAAAGTGAACTCAAGTCCTAACATTATTTCTGAGGAGATCATGGTGACAACAGGGTGTTACCGTTTATCACTGAAAGAAAGCAATCATATCTTTCCGGTGGTGCCACGAAGCTGAATAAGAGATAATGTGATTCTGGAATGAGAGGAAGGAAGAGAGGGAAAACAGTGCTCAGGGACGGACAAAGGGCTCTGTAACTCTTGCACAGACCCTGGAGTAACTCCACAGCTATCAGGAGGTAGGTTGGCACAAAATATCAAGGACGTAGGCCACCAGGCCCAGAAAATGTGGGCACAAATCATACGAGCTCTGTATTCTTGAAACCCAATTTGGAAGCCACATGGATGAACCACCATGGTAAATGGTAGAAAGAATAATAGAGAAATGTCCTTAAAATGTGACAGAAAAACACAAACTCATAATAGCAGTGACCCTTGGAAAGCAGAATTTCTGTGGCAATAATAAATATAAGTGACAGAAGCTTAACAGAAAGTTCAATAAAATTTTTATCTTCTTAACTATTTAATTTAAGTGTGGATAACTCCATATGGAATCCCTGTCTGTAAATAAATACACAATACTTGCAGTGACACTAGTCAAATAGGAGGATGTTCAGTGGCCCAGAGAATGAGATAATTCCAAAGAGGCTGACAT